ATTTTCAGGATTATTTTATTGAAATCTGTCCTGATTCAGAAGAATCCTTTGGATACAGTATTTCTCAACCTGTCAGTCTTGAGATTTCTTCAGTCTCATCTTCGTATTTCTCTCTCTTTTTCTTTGGTTTTAATTGCTTTCTTGATGGAGGCAGTTATAAGATCCCATTTTTCCTTCGACGTCCATGGTCACTATATAGTTATCTTTCTATAACCGAGTCAATACGACTTTTGCTGAAAGCTTTCTTTTATTGCTTTCATACAGAAGATATTTAACAACATATATTTCGCGTTATCTTTTTTATGAAGCAAAAACGGTATTTTATGTCCTCTTCCTTCCACCCCCGCTATCGGTGAAGGCGGAGCCTTTCGGGCCTTTCCCGTATTTTCTTCCTCTCGCTTTCCTCTGGTCGCACTACCGCCGAACGGCCCCGGTTCAACCCCTTTGGTATCCCCGTGCAAGCATGTGACTCACAAGGCAGAAGCGAAGGCTTCCCATAGTGGAGTTGAATGCAATCTTGGAAAATGTCCAAACTGCCTTGAAGAGAGACCACGGGATGCATTGCTGCACCCGCGCATACAGGAGCGACCAGAACACAGCATCAGCGATGCTCAATCAATCGAGAAAACTCGATCGAATTCAATTACGCTTATTGACTCAAAATATTTCAGGAAGGTATCTGAGTGTCGTGGTGACCGACCTTCCCTCCCATTTTCACTGGCGCAAACATATAATAATACGGCACACCACGCATACACACCCATACACATGTGCGGACGCACGTACATTTCTGCTGTGCATTTGACACGCTCGATCGTACACATCCCTCGCATGTTCGTAGTTGTTCGTCTGTCTTGAATTATTGCTCACTCAAAAGCGCAATCAGATAGGCACGCAAGGGTTCAAAGGCGCGCTCTCGAAGCTTGTGCGTACATGTCGCTCATACCAAAGTGTCGGACCCTAGTGCTTATGTTTTCGGTGACATTTCGGCACATACTGACTGTGGGAATGTCTAGCCGGCTCTATCGCGCAGATGAGTCCCTCTTTCTGCCCTCTCTCGATCTATTTTCTATCTTTTACAAAGTATAATCGCTAAGTCTCTGAGTCAATCGGTATTTCATCTCACTGTGTTTCCGTCTTAGCCATTCTTTAATATTTGATATGGGATTATGCGTTATAATCTTTTGTCGAACTTGCATAATATATGTAATGCAAATATACACAAGTGAATAGATAAATACCCGGAAGAGCAACGAGTGTAGTAGACGCGAGGAAACTGTACAATGAATTTAACTAAAATTAATGTATTCTTCGTTAAAATCTAAATGTATTCGGCAATAAAATATTACTAGCATTATGCAATTTATCACTTCGATCGATCGATTCTGCTATTTCTAAACTTAACTTATCGGCAGTCTACGTCTTCTTAACCTGTTGCTGAACTTAATTTATCCTTACACTACGCGTTTACATTTATGACCCTATGTTTTCGTTTGTTATTTAAGTTATTGTCGTACATTCATTAAAAAAGAAAATAAAAAATTATAATTTAGGTCGTAGCGTTGTAACAATTTTTGCTTACATGCTTGTGCATCGTTGTCCGTTGACTCAATCGCTCAAAGTCCCGAAGCATCCGACGAACGACTGATTATCTTGACACTGTCTGTGCAAGTTGACGCAATAAGTTATCTTGGATAGCAGTCGTGCCGGTGAGCGTGCGAAGGTGACGAAGAAACGGTGGTCGAGTTCCTTTTTACCAAATAATCGTTTCATGCGCTGCTTCTCTGATGCGGATAAACGTTCGATAATTTTAGTGCGCACAAAAGCGTGTGGGTTGTTTCCGGAAGGATTGTTGATCACATCCTCGATTTCCACGACTATTCCAGTTTCTATTTGTAACATAACATAATGAAATTTATTTATTTTATTAGTTACATTTGTAATGAATTCTATATAGATCAGTCAAACCAAAAGGGAAGCACGGTGAACTGCAGGTGACTCGGGCTAGGGTATCCTTACTTCTTGCCATAGTTGTACATACTACTCACGTTGATCTGCTATTGATTTTGTTATTGCTGTTGTTGTGGCGTAAGTTATCAAACATCAAAGTGGCGGGGTCACCAATGAGAAGAATAAAGGTTAACACAAGATTAGAATGAAGAAATTTTTTGTTTTTGACTTTCCAGTTTGCTGTCAGAATATAATCTGCTGAAAAAAACTAATTGACAAAAATTGCATGTTACTACGGCAACTTAAACAAGAACATAGAGCTTTACGTTCATCACAGTTACGCGTTTAAGGAAAGAAATCTTTGAAGATAATAAGCATATAAAAATAATAATTATAAGAATATAAAGATATAATAAGAATATAAAAGTGAATGTTTATATGAACAAACACAAAAAAGTGCACGTGACTAACTGGTTTTTAAAAATAAAAAATAATAATGTGTGTACTGAAAATAACTGTAATTATTTTACAACTGAATCATCAATGTTCTGTAATAGTTATTATATTTGCTTACGTGATTTACAAATTGAATCAAAATTATGAAAAAAACAACAATAAAAATATTCAAAGTTTGCCCCGAATGAGGATTTCAAATAAACCAATTACACCTTCCTACTAACTTGATACAATGATAATTGAAATTGCTTAATTCACGTACGCTAATTGCTTGAAAACGAGCCCTGACAATTTTTACAAATGTGCGCGGGTGTCCCGCAATAAGTACTAATTTCTCTTACGTGCATGTAGCATAGTCTATCATTAAGTGACAGGCCCGGTCAGGTCCATCGTTGAGAGTCTGGTGAACTCCTTGATGTCTTGCATTATCTCCAGGAATTAGCGTAACGTCGATGGTGTCCAAAGTTGCCTTCGGATCCTGTAGTCGCTTAGTGTTAAGTGGAGATGAAGGGAGCGTACACTGTAGTGGATGCCGAACGAGTGTATCCGTAAAATCTAGTCACGAGCAACTCACTGTGCAACGGACTATTTCCCAACATGCCGTCAGCACCATCGATTCTTTTGGAGGGGATCAGGATATCATTCGTGCACATGAAACAAAAACAAAAACACGCTAATTTCAAAATTCTCGGGCTTCGCATGTTAACATAAATTAATATATTTATATCTCTTAGCAGTGTAACGGAGAATTCCTACTACGCTGATATTCTACTGTTGAAGCTCTCAAACCCATCCGTTTATCAGGTTAACCGTGTATTCGTACACACTTATGCCTGTTATCTCTTTATTTGAAGTACTTTGAAGTGCGATGAAGGAGACGATTGGTGGAGCCAAGACCTGCTGATGAGGAGTTAAGAACAAGAGGACGGTGACTGCAAAGAGCACGAAACAGAAATAGAGAGAGAGAGAGAGAGAGAGAGAGAGAGAGAGAGAGAGAGAGAGAGAGAGAGAGAGAGAGAGAGACTTTAATTGCCTGCACAGCCACAATGCATAAGACCGATTGGTAGTATCCTTGGAGTATTGAGCCACACGCGTCACCCAATGTTTCGTTTTTTCGTTTCTCAAATTTTTCAATCCTCCGCGAGGACATTGGACTATATTGTGAATACACGCCCGGTGCGCGAATGCATTTGTGATATGTTGTGTTCGTCGTTGGATCGCATTAAGCCGATCACAAGGACCAGTACTGGTACATACCGGTATGAGTATCGGCAAGGGCTTGCGTCGACGACACGCACGAACATTTCAAAATGTCGTGTTTGGGGTTGACGGTAGAAGGTTAATGTACAATGTTGTCAATTAACATCTCCGAACACGTTGCAAAATCGTGCTATTTGTTTATGTCATAGTCATCATCGCATTTGTATATATGCCGATCATATGTTTGAATAAAGTGCGAACAAGTGTCTCAGTGTTTTCGACTAATCCGAATCCTCAACCTGACGTAAGTATCGCGTACGATTAGTATTTATACTCGGCATAATATTTAGCATTCATACCTCCCGAATCTGACCCTTAAAAATATTGTACACCTAAAATTATTGTACTTATATGAAAAAAATAAAATATTAGTAAATACCGTCGTATATAAGATTTAAATAAATGATTGTTTCGTTATGGTACTTATCTTGAAATCTTTTTCCATTGAGGCAGGAGCAATATTTTTTGATAAAAAATGTTTATAAATAGAACAATGTTCTTTCACCAGTGTCAGTGCAATGTCTATATCCTGAGTGTAAATGGAATAAATAAAGACGACAGTCCCTTCTAACGTCGATGCTCTTGTGTAGAATCAATAATCTTGAATAAAAAATGAACCCAGTAAAGAAATTTAAAGTGATGCCGACCTAGTAGAAATTAATACATGAGACGGAATTTGCAAGAGTATAGGAGCTTCGTATGCCTTTTCAGTTACAAATTTTTTATGTGTTTTTTTTCAGTGGGAACAATTTTACCGTTCGAGAAAATTGTAGCAGTATAGATAAAAGAACTTGCAAGACTGTTCATTTGGATGTTAAAATTGAAGACGGTGTGCACTTAACTGTTGAAATTTTAATTAAAATTCCTATAAAGTCTCTTGTAAATTCAAGATATTCTGCGAAACAATGCTATAGCCGCGCGTCAGAGCTGTGTATACTGTCATTCAGAGTTCGGTCAAAGTCACGCAATTTTTCGAATACGATGCTCGGGCAAGATAAACTTGAGTTTTATTACAAATATAATAAAATATTTTTTGTACAGTGCGGGCTATGGCCGTACTATAACTTGATTTTTAGCAAAATCCTTCGATGTTTTTGGCTAAGTCAAGAAATCTTCATTTTGATTACTAAGGTAAATTTCCGTCTCATTTAGTTCGAATAGATAAGATATTAGACGACACTTATAAATTTCATTTCCACAAAAATTAACCTGTTTCAATCGCATTTATGAGACTGGAGTCGTAGTTTTAAAATAATTATTTATTAAACATTCTATATTTATTTTTATGTATTTTAATTCAGAGAGAATAAGGATTTACAAAGATTGTTATCACTATGAAATTTGATAATGATGATGTATTTTTCAAAATTTTATACGTTGTATTCGCTCTTAATTTTTAGTTAATAAAATTTTATGAGATAAGACACGAAATAGATTTAGTTATTGAAAGCATAGTGTCTTTCTTCTACAATATTGTTGTTACCATCAAATTTATAAATGGAATTTCCAACGAAAAGAAAGTACGTGGCATTATGCAAAATTGAAAAATTTATGCAGCACTAATAAAAATATTTGTCAATAAAGATAAAGGTAATTTTTGAAAAAATAAAAAAAGATTGGGAAGAAACTGTCGATCCAATCGAAAATCAAATTCTAACTCACTATGCCAACTTAGGAAAGCTGCTGAATATTTTATATCTGAGTAAGTTTGATGAATTAAAGCTTTCTTAATATATATTTTAATAACGTACTTTAATATATATTTTAGGTGCAGTTTTATCAACCTTGGTAGCATTTATGTGTCTTCCTCTGACACCGGTTTTCCTAGATATAATTCTTCCTTTGAACGAATCAAGACCAAGAAAACCACTTATAATGGCAGAATTTTTCATCGACGAAAAAAAGTATTTTCATTCACTAGTGATACATGCTTTTATCACAGCTTATTATGGTATTATACCACTTATCGGAACCGACACATTTTACATGAATTGCATCTATCATGCGTGTGGAATGCTGACAATTTTAGGGTACGTTGAAATAATTAGATTAGTGAAAAATCATAATCTGATGTAGTTATATGTTCAAGATAAATGAAGGCATGAGCATTATTGTGAAAAAATAAAAATTACTATAATTTTGTCATTAAAAATGTAGCTGATAAACAAACACGGTAGCCGCCACGTTCTTCTAGTTTTTCGTATGCAGCGAATCCAACCAAAAACGTTATTTGGCATGATGTAGTTTTACATACTTCAGATCACAGGAAAAATGCCTTAATATTGAAATAAGATAAAGCGTATTCTCTCACTCTCAACAATATACATACATTTACAAATAATCAGATGGAACATAAAACTAAAAATTGAACTAAATAACCGGCACAAAAAATTTAAATCTTGACTTGCGTGCATAACGACTGCGATTTTGTTTATCTTTTATATTTATTTTTCGTTTAATTAATAATTTTTCGACACTCCGTGTTTAATGACTCGACTTAGACACGCTTGGGAAGGCAAGCGTGTTTCAAATCTCGTCTCATACACGTCACAACAAAAAAAAAGTACGAGAAAATGATTTCAACCTTGATCGTGTAGCCTCTTCAGCGTCGTTTCGCTAAGACGCAAACATCCACGCGAGGCTTAAATATGCTAAATTATCTTGATGTGCCAGATATTATTGACTTTTCACCTGTTAATTCCAAGTTCTCTGGGGCACACTTATATCGATGGAAAAATGGGAATGATCACGCGTAGCAGGTGAATGGCCCTTTCCTCATTGGGTCTTACCGTGCTGCCCGTTTCTCCGCTTCGCTCTTACTCTTTTGCTCCCTTGTCGCCTCTTGCTCGCACTCTCGCTCGTTCATTTTCTCGGCGAAAAGGTCAACCAACTGATCTTCCACGTATTGAAGTGACTCGCGAGATTTTGGAAGCCACTTGCCTTCCATGGAGTTTGGTAGCTTCCAAGAACTTATTCTTCAGAGTTAATAACTGTAACACGGCGACGAAATGCATACTTTGCGCTCGCCCACGTTCATATGTCGAGTCAGAGTTACCAGTGAGATTCTGTTTATCTACGAGAATGTTCATTTTTTTCATTTCGGATGCGGACGGTCGGTTGTTCGAACAGTTTAAAAACACGTGGACAATGTGTTTTCGAAGTCGCTAGGTGCGCATCTTAACATATGTGGACCGCACCTAGTTTTTCTTCGAGAAATGACTCCTAATTTTTGTATGACGAGCTAATTTCTCCTGAAAATAGAGCATAAGGTTTTAGGTAAGAACTTGTCAACTACTTAATTAAAAAAAAAACTGTTTAGATTATTATTTTACAATAATTCACTATTTCACTCATGATTTAAATGTTCTACGATTGTTAGGGTGAAAAGGACTGAGAGTGGAAGTTTTAAAACATTTGATATAAGAATGCCGGATTTATTCAACTAATAATAAAACAAAAAAATATAACAAATAAAACGGAACGCTCGGAACCAAACTAAGATTGCAATTAACACTAACGGTACAAATTACATTTATAAAAGTTTGAAATCTCAATCGCAAACTGAGTTAGTTAAAATTAAGAAATGATTAACTTTATGTCGGCACGGAAATCGTATCTCTAAATTTTACAAAGGTATAGTTAACGGAAGTACAATTAATAAAGTATGATTAACGCACGCGTGTTCAACAATAAGCGACTTGCCTTTTGTCAGAGCCTGATCTAGAAAGAATGAAACGCGTCGCCGCGCCAGCTGAGTCCGATGCAAAAAATTTTTTTCTTATCTCAATTCCCTTTCCTCACACGAACGTCGAAGGCGTGAACTTCTTGACCTCCTGCCAATGGGATTTCATTATTCACGTATCAGCTGCTTCTTACTCTGTTTGATTGGCTCGAGTCGAAGTCTGTGATGATTTCGACCGCGCGTTAAAGATTGTGCCATGTTTTGGTGGCTCGTGTTGCGTTGTTTGATATTTAGGATCTGGATTTGGCGTAAGGAGAGATAATGGATGTTTAGCTGCGATCGTTGAAAATAATTATTATAACACACTGGTACTGTATAAATATTACTGTATTGTTGAGTTAAAAATGAGTGTGCTATGCGCAGGCGAACACTACAGAGTATCGCGAGGTATGCGCGCGCGTACAAAGTGAGTGTAGCGAGGCGAGGAGTTGGCGATACTCACTCGTCGAGACGTCGCGTCCTTCTGGTCATTCGCGGGGGTGCATGGATGCACCACCTAGCCAGGCTTTTGCTTCTCCTTTTCCCGAGAACACTCAATGCTTTTACTCGTCGGAGAGGGAAAAGAGAAAGCGGAAATCTGATGGAAAAAAGTGCACGCGCGGGCCTGCTACAAAAAAGGCCCAGCCGAAAAGGTTTGGCTGTTTGCACTACGTGCTCCATGAACTGATCGCTTGTCGGACATCATAAAAAATAAATCGTAAATCAACTGAGATATTGATTTACGATTTATCGGAAAAACTAAGAGAAGGGTTGAGGAACATGTACGGTGCAGATTTTGGAAAAGTCTGCGACCCCACAGTACCCCCTTGCCAGTGATGAAGTCACGAAAAGAAAGTACTAATAGTGATGCTGAATGCGTGACAATGAATGATTATCATAATACCGTAATATTCATTGAACCCAGCTTGATAGCGCTCTGCGAAACGTACACGTCGTGTGGATCTTCGGATAGCTGGTTGTTGTCCGTTGTTTTCATGAGCTGCCGGTGGCTGTTGTTGTTGCTGCTGAGGAACTGGCTCTTGTTGCTGCTGTTGTTGGGGCTGTGCCTGACGATGACGTATTAAGAGGAACTCGTCTTCCTCGTCGTTTTGATGTGCGTTCTCTGGAGCATCTCCGAGGACAAAGGCTGGCTTGAGTCTATCGATAGAAACGTTGGCTGTGTGACCGTTGAGCTGCAGCTTAAACGTTTTATCCGATCGAGTCAGCACGCGGAATGGTTCATCGTAAGGCATTTGGAGTGAAGACATCACAGCGTCGCGGCGAACTAAAACGGGATTGCACGTTGCCAGATCCTTGAAAATAAAGATTTTCTGCTCGCCGTGTGATTTTTCCAGGACTGGTCGTATCTTCGCGAAGTAGTTGCGCAACTCCGTCACGAAAGAAGCTGGGTCATCGTTGTTAGTTTTTGATGCAACGAGCAATTCCCCGGGAAGGCGAAGTGGCTGTCCGTACAGTATGTCGGCTGCTGTGGCTGCGGCGTCCTCGCGCCATTCGGCGCGTATGCCGAGAAGCACAGTTGGGAGAGCGCGAGTCCAGCTGTCGTTCTCGTGGCAACGAATCGCAGCTTTTAGTTGCCTGTGAACGCGCTCGATCATGCCATTCGCTGCGGGATGATAGGCAGATGTACGCAGGTGGGTCGTACCTGTCAAACGGCTAAGCGCATTGAACAGGTATGACTCGAATTGTCGACCTTGGTCTGTTGTCACTCGAAGCGGCGTGCCAAAGCGATAAATCCAGCCGTTGTAGAAGGCTCTTGCGACGGTCTCGGTCTCCTGGTCCGGCATCGGGAAAGCTTCTGGCCAGCGAGAAAACCGGTCGATGCAGGTTAGGCAGTATCTCTGTCCTTCTGACGGCGGCAGCACGATGATGTCGATGTGTACGTGTTCGAACCTGGAAGAAGGAGGTGCAAAGCTGCCGATGGGTGAGTGCACGTGACGTGTCACATTGGAGCGTTGGCACCAGAGCCGAGTTTAGGCATGGGCCTACCTGGGCCCAGGCCGGGGCCCCGCCGTGGAAACCAGGCCTCGCGAACAGGGCCTCGCAACCAGGCCCCGTCTTTTTGGCCCAGGGGTCGGGAAAGGTCTAAACTCGGCTCTGGTTGGCACTGTATACATGCCCGTGTCCAAGTGCGACAGTCGGTGTTAATCGATGGCCAGACGTAGCGCTTCGCCACTTCCTTGGTAGTTGCCTTTATGCCTGGGTGTGAGAGCCTGTGCACGGTGTCGAAGGCAATTCGTCGGAAAGCTGGTGGCATATAAGGACGGGCTATTGCAGTGGAGTAGTCGCAAATCAACTCAGCATCGCTCCCTGGTAAGCGCATTCCTTTGAGTTGAAGAGAAGTCTTGGAAGCTTGCAAGCTCTTGAGCTCTGCGTCTACTTTCTGTGCTTGCGCTACAGCCGTGTAGTCGAGCGTTGCTGCTACTTCTTCAATCCTTGAGAGTGCATCAGCTACGACGTTGTCTTTGCCAGAGATATGCCTGATGTCCGTAGTAAATTGACCTATGAAATCCAACTAACGACTTACCCGGGGTGAAGCTTTTTCGAGCTTTTGATGGAAAGCAAAGGTAAGCGGCTTGTGGTCAGTATATACGGTGAAATCGCGTGCTTCTACCATGTGGCGAAAGTACTTGACTGCAAGATAGCCAGCAAGGAGCTCTCTATCGAAGGTGCTGTACTTGGCTTGAGCAGGGCAGAACTTTTTCGAAAAGAAACCCAACGGCTCCCAGACACCGTTAACTTTCTACTTGAGAGCTGCTCCTGTGCTGAAGTCCGATGCGTCGCTGAAAATCGCAAGCTCCGCGTTTGTTTTCGGGTAAGCCAGTAGTGCTGCTTGCGCTAGGTCTTGTTTGAGCTTCTCGAAGCTCGAGATTGCGTGAGGTGTCCAAGTAAGCTTGGTCTTGCCCTTTATATTGTCGACGAGCAAGTTGTTGAGTGAAGCTTGAGTTTCAGCGGTGGTTTGAAGAGTGGTCCTGAAGAAGTTGACCATGCCGAGGAATCGGCGTAGCTCCTCTGCTGTTGTTGGAAGTGGAAATTCCTGCACCTCCTTGACTCTTTCAGGTGGTGGAGTAACTCCTTGGCTAGTGACGCGATACCCTAGAAAAATGACCTCGGCCTTTCCCAGAACACATTTTTTCGTGTTGATTACGATGCCGTAATCGTTGAGGCGCTTGAAGACGTTGCGCAGATGCTGCAGGTGTTCTTCCTCATTGGCAGAAGCGATTAAAATGTCGTCCAGGTATGAGTGCGCGAAGTCCAAACCTCGAAGTACTTCGTCAACGAAACGCTGGC